GGTCATCATTAGGTTTTTTCCTTTCAATTTTCCTTTCAAAAAGTAGAGGATTGTTAGTGCTATTATGTGATTAATTTAGCTGATTTTATATTATGTATCTTTTAAGGAATCAGGAAATGTAGGTTTAAATAATATTAGGGAAAACAAATTAATAAATATTTCAATAATTATATTATTAATATTAAGAATTTTTAAGGGATCAATATTTTTTGAGTGTTTTTTTATAGGTATTTTATTTATATAAGGATGAAAATTAAATTGTTAACACTCTATAATTTGTATAGTAATACGAATTTTTTTATGAAATTTTATGTACTTATGTAATACGAAATTTTAAATGAAAAATTTAAAATACAAATTTATATATTAAGCTATTTTTTAGTAATATGAATAATAAATTTCGTATCTTTATAAATTTATAAGTTATTTTTAAATATAGAAATTGAAAGATTTAAAATAGAATTAAGAATTATATTAAAGAATAGATATTAAAGAATGAATAGAATTTATAGAAAAAGATTTATTATTAAAATTTCAAAAAAAATTTTAATTTAAATAATATTTTTAAATAATAACTTTTCGAAAATTTATATATTCATTTATTTATATATTTATGGTTTTAATTTAAATAGTAATTTTTACAAAATTTATATATTTATATACTTATATATACATTTAAGGTTTTAGTTTAAATTATAATAATTTTTATATAAAATTTATATGTTTATTTTCTTATATATAGATGTTTGTGTATTTATGTATTTAAAGTTTTAATTTAAATAATAATTTTTATATAAAATTTATATGTTTATTTTCTTATATATAGATGTTTGTGTATTTATGTATTTAAAATTTTAATTTAAATAATAATTTTTATAAAATTTATATATTTATATATATTTTGAGATATATATAATTTCATTAATTGTATTTCATTAATTTTATTTATATAAATTTATCTAAACAGTTTATATTATTAAAGTTTAACATCGAAGATATTAAGAAAATTATTTTTTTTAGATATTTGTGAAAATATATTGAATGTATATAATATTGAATATAGTGAATATTATGAACATATAATAGGATAGTAGTTTGTTAGGGCTACTCCATATAATGCTCCTTATGCACATGGTTCTGGGGACTTGCGCGTTGGAAGACTAAGGAAAGGCGCGTGGGGTTTTTAGTTGGTAGTCCCTGCCGTTAAAATGGCGGCGGGGAGAGCCCAACACTACCCCGACGGGACCACTAAATAGGTCCTATTTAGCGGTCCCGTCGGGGTGTGCATAAGGAGCATTTTCCCCACGTAAAAAAAAAAAAAAAAAAAATTGTTAAATTATGTTGTATTACATTTCAAATTATATTATATTTTAATAATGAATTTCAACAATGAATTTCAACAATGAATAACATAATATCCGACATAAACAATACCGTGCCAATGATTTTGTTTTACGGTCTTGTTATGCAAATTTAAATTTATATACTATATTGCAAAATAAATGCTGCAATTGTATATATTATATTATATATAAAATTATATATAATATAACCCTCCCATGGGGTACACCTTGTCGCGGTGGGAGGGCTTAGTACTTGGATAGTGTCTTGAGATTTATCTTAAATTTTTCTATTTATGACAAATCTTAAGGTGCTTGAAAGGGAAGCTAAGTACCCTTTCGCATCGTCGGTGCCGTCAACGTGCCGCGGACGGCAAGCGTTTCGTTACCGCGTTTTCGCGTTGTAGTATTCTCGCGTCGTCGCGTTTTCGCGGAAATTTTGGACTTTTTCATATAAAATCCCAATTTCATTTATTGTCACGAGTCTCTACTTCCGATGCCAACTAACTGGGATGTTTCGAGTTTGCACACGTTGTTATGCAACGTACACTCGCGCTTCGTGCTTCGTACTTCGTCAAATGATTCGGCCCGAATTAGTTAGAACTCGATCGATTGCTCGGAATGGTCGTCAATGGGTCCCTTCTCTTTGCTCGTCTACCCTACAGCCACACGCACTGCGTGTGTTAACCCTGTCGAGGAGTCGAGTGGATTCCCCTAAGCATGATTTTCGCTCGGTAAAAGGGGTTGCCTCCCCATTTTTTAAATTGCTGAATGTTAGCATTTAAAAAATGTGGGTATCCTCTTCTTTTGCCGTCTATCAGCCAGGTGTAGCCATATCCTGCATTGCGGGAAACTTCGTGTTCCGGGCGAAGCACCTGAAATCATGCTTAGCGGGTCCAGGTTCGATACGAGATAGGATAATTATGCGCGAAAAAGAGCTGGTGAACTTTATTTTCCTCTATTCCTCAATCGTTTCGTCTTCTTTCCGGTTCGGGCCTAATCTTTGCTCGTTGTATCGTTGCACTCCCGACCTGTTGGCTCAAAGTTAAGTCTCGTAAATGAAATGAGATTTTCGCTCGTACCGAAACCGGGAGTGTCGTTGAAAGTATATATATATTAAATATATACATCGCGCGACCAAATTTTTAATCCGAATACCGAAGTAGTGCGGAAGTGCCGTTTAGTATCGCGCGTAAAATAACGAAAATAGCGATATAAAAATATCGCTCGTGAGTGCGGGAGTGCCGTTTAGTATCGCGCATAAAATAATGAAAATAGCGATATAAAAATATCGCTCGTGAGTGCGGGAGTGCCGTTGAAAGTATCGCGCGTCAACAACATGAGAGGAGGAGGAGGCCTGGGAGAGGCATCCTGCACCGGCGGAACAACCTGATGGTGAATATTATTATTTATATATTAATTGTTATAAATCGTTAACTTGTTATAAACGAACAATAATTCGATCTTATTATTTAAATGAATTAAAGTGAAAGATTTTTATAAAAGTTATATAAAATTTTCTATTCATAAAACAGTTACAAAAATTTATAAAATTTTTTCATACGTGTTTATCTGCTTATTATTTTACACATCGGATATAAAATTCCGCGCGATAAAAATTTTTTTAAACATTAATTACATTTTACGAGCATTATTATAAATGAATTTTATATTTGTATGTTACAGACAACTAGCTTCGATAACAACAATTCCGCTGTTGCGCATCAGTGCCGGTGAGTGAAAAAAACTTTTATTTAACTTTAAGGTAACGGATTCGTAGACGTTGCAGATGTAGATGTAGATGTAGATTATATATTGTAGATAAATCCGTTGCCTCAAAATGGATGAGCTAGGATGGATTAAATAAAATAAATTAAATTAAATAATTAAATTAAATTAATTAAATTAAATAATTTTAATTAGTTCTTTCGAACTTATTCTTTACATCTATTGCGAAAATATATTGAAATATTAATTAAAAAAAGAAAAGATCAAGAAAAGATTTTTTTGTAATGATTTTGTCTAATTTATAAAGGATAGTCATTAACAATTATTAATTTTATCAATTTTTGATGCTAATTTATTCTTATAATACGCACTTATTTTCTAATTGCTCATATCTCATCCATCGTAGAATTTGTTTGTAGATATTGTTTTTAAACTTTACTTTAACTTAATATAAAGCCAAATGATTAATTAATTAAATAATTTGTAATATGATAAATATACACACATTAATTATATCTTTTATTATAAAATATAATTTATAATAATTTGTAGTAATTTGGCTTTATTTCAGTTAAAATAAAGTTATATTCAATATTTAACGAGCGATCGTGAAATCGAACGATCGTTATTAAATGAGCGTAAATATTTCACGCTTTTTTGCTGGTAATTATCCGGCAAAAGAAGGAGTAATTATCTCCTGCTTCGATTTCTGATTAGAGATCGAGAAAGAAAGCCAGGATCAACGAAAAATAAGTTCAACTGACCTATTCTAAAAAAGGCATGTTAAGTCGATTCTCGAAAGTCTCGAAGTATTGTTATCTCTTTTCCGCGATGCCGATTGGTTTTTTTATTGTGCTCAATTCATGTTGTGAGCAGCTATCATTTGCGATTATTACAAATTTTGACAGCTTATGTGACAGTGAGAAATATATAATGAAAGGGAATAAATGGCGCGCGCGAAGCGCGCGCTTCGCGTTGTCTAATACGATTAAAATTTATATAAATCGTTATGATATAGTTTTGTTAGCAAAATATAGAGAGACGTTATTTGAAATGATGGCTATTTTCAAGAGGTTTTGTAAAGATAGAGATTTAAAATTTAATGCGGAAAAAACAAAGATTTTGGTATTTAATAGAAAAAAAAGAAAAGATGGAAAAATGAGGTAAAGAGATGATAGAGGAGGTGCAGAACTCCAAGTATTTAGGATTTACTTTCAATAGGAACGGGAAATATAAAGAGCATATTAAAGAATTAGTGAGGAAATGTTGATTAGCAGCGAACAAGATTTGAGGATTAGGAGAAAGAATTTGTAAAAAGGATTTTAGTAGGAGATGGAAGCTGTTTAGTTATTTAGTAGAAAGTGTGATGGCATACGGGATAGAGATATGGGGTGAGGAAAGAGAAAAAAGAATTGGAAAAGATTATGCTGGATTGTGTGACTATTTAAATTAGATTTTTGCACACCAAGGTACATAATAACAAGGAAATTAGGGATTGATAAATTAAAAATAAGGTAGGGTCTAAGAGCAAGAAGGAATGAAGAAAAGATAAAAGAAATGGAGGAATAGATGGGTAAGAATAGGTTGAGAAGAGGAAAAAAGTATTAAATATTTCATTTTTGAACATTACATTGGAAGATTACAGTATCTTTCGCGATTGAATAATTTATTTACTATCAGTTTATATACATAAGTGTCTTGTTATACTCTGGTGCTACCGGCATTTCGTGTACGGAACGAAACCAGAAATTGTGCACATTATATATTACCCTCTGAGAACATTCATGGACTTTGGCTTTGTAGTTCATGTCCACGTTTTCAATGTCCATAGAGGGAGTATCGCTTTCAGGAATCACCTAAAAGGTTATGACCATCTCTCAGTTTTCTTTCTGCGTAAGAGTCATTCATAAATTGTCTACTATTTATGTATACTATAGAGGACTCGTACTCGCATCGTACTCGTACATTCATGCTAATTCTATCAATGCTACATTTATTAATGGACGTGTGTACAGTGTGCATATGCATGCAGATAAACATAACCTTTTTTAAAAGTTAAAATACCAAAATCTATCAGTTGTAAAATTAAATACATGATCCCTAATGATGGAATCTCTGCAAGAAATTTCTCAATATTTGTGTCGTGATGCACGATTGGATTTGAAAGTCATTGCATTGGAATATATACTCGGTACATATTCGTATGTTTTAATTGCATAAATATTTTATATAAAATATATCGTATTTTATATAATATTTTATATAATATTTTATTTAATATTTTTATTAGTTTGTATAAAAAGGTAATCACTAATCACTCAAATATATAGGCGTCACAGCAACTGTCGATGGTCGAGAACTCCTGTTGAAGCTACCAGAAATATTGAAACAGCTTGTTATTCTCGTGCAAGATTCTTCTATTCCTATTAGAAAAGATGCTATACTGACGTTGGTAAATATTACCGGAGATGAATCAGGAACCAATGCAATGCTGATTATTTCGGAGTCAAGTAATTCGATAAAGGAACAAGAATATAGTCTGAATTTAATAGAAGTTTGTTTAAGGTAAATGTAATTGTATAATTGTTGTTTTTTGTGTATATATATAACTTAATGTTATATATATAAATATATATAATATTTAGTTTCATAAATTATATTTTACAGGATTATAATGGATAAATCCAGCACCTTGGCAGATCCATGTTGTATGATACTTTCCAATATGACAAGACCACTATATTTAGTGGATAGAATCATAGCACTCATTGAACAAAGTGGTTATACCTGGGACACAATAGTGGCTGCATTTACCGCTAAGCAGTATAATACTACAAGTGCTAAATTGCACTATCTTGGACCTGTTTTTAGCAATCTTAGTCAATCATCGCATGTAAGAAGGTAACATTTTAGTGACATCAGTTTTAGATCTCAATTAGTTGTTCATTAGATTGATGTGTTTCATTTTACAGATATTTGATGGATCGAGATCGTTGTGTTATTCAACGGCTTCTTGCATTTACAGAATATTCTGATAGTATAATTAGGCGAGGCGGTGTCATTGGTACTTTGAAAAATTGTACGTTTGATACAGAAAATCATATATGGTTGCTGAGTCCAGAAGTGGATTTATTATCATATTTATTGTTGCCACTTGCTGGTCCAGAAGAGTTCGACGATGAAGATAATGATAAATTGCCAATTAATCTGCAGTATCTTCCTGAAACAAAGACTCGAGAACCTGATCCAGATATAAGGTAAATCATAGGTCACATATACATTTCACGAGATGCAATGCTCAAGAATTTATTAATATTACATTATTATGTCGTTTCAGACTTATGCTTTTAGAAACATTAAACCAACTTTGCGCAACGAAAGTGGCGAGAGAAATATTGAGGGAAAAGAATACATATATCATACTTAGAGAACTTCATAAATGGGAAAAAGACAAGAGTTGTTTATTGGCATGTGAAAATGTTGTGGATATCCTGATAAAGTAAATGTTTGAATAAGGCTTTATATCTGCTTAATTATTACTTTCTTTTACATAACAAAAATATGTGTTTGTTTGTTATAGAACCGAAGAAGAAATTGGTTTAGATAACTTGAAGGAAGTAGATGTGCCATCTGAATATACAAAAAAGTTTGATAAGATAAGTAAAGATTTTATTAACAATACATAGTGCAAAAATTGATATAAATATGTATAATATTTTGTAAATATTGCACGTACAACAATACATACGATACTTAATGCTATCTAATGAAAATGTAATTATAAAAATATGGTATTTCTCATAACACATTCAACTCTTTGTATCGTATTTGTCACGATATTGCACTGTCCCGTTTTTTATTATTAATAATAAGTTATCAGGTCCAGCGTAGCAAAAAACATTCAATAACTTAATCTTTTTATCGCATACAAATAACCGTAAATCTTTGAAATTGAAATAAAAGCACAAATAATTTCTATATCCTGTAACTTATACTAAAGATGAAACAGGTACGCGAGTAAGTAGTTGCATATTTCATAATATTTATCGAGACACGACTAATAGAATCACGATATGTTCATGACTGATCTTTTTCCAAAATATGATACGAATGGCAAGCTGTTACGAGACACATGTATATTATAGTATCAGTTATTTTAAGTATTCTTTTTCGTAGAGATAATTTGTGGATTCTTCTGTCAAGGTAAGTAACCCAATCCGGCTTCGAGACTGATCGAACTTCTTATACTCGATGCATTACTGGCTCTTCTCGAGTTCCGATTATTTTCTCCTGCACCAAAGACGGCAGCGATTTCCGCGCTTTTCTTGATGGAAAGCGCTTCGTGATGCGCTCCGGATCTCCCGTTACCGCGAGAGGAATACTTTTTATCTCGTTCCGTGCCACCGACGTAAACCAAACGGCCCTGAGTATCTCTGGCGCTAACGACGAGAACTTTCTCGCTGCCGGACGATTGCTGGGATCTTCTTCCTGGGCTGAAGAGATCGTAATCTAAGGCCAAATTATCCGAACTACCACAAATCGGCGATGATCGAGTCTGAAGTGAGATTTGTGGAAATAGATTTTAATATCGCAAAATTGTGAAGTGAAAAAGGTCGACAATTTATTTAAGATTTCTCCAAAATACCTTAAGAAGATCAGTGTTGCGCGATGAGCTATGACTACCGGTCATTCTCGAGCCTCTGATCCTCTCGGGACTGTCTCCTCTGCTAAGGGTGCTCTCTGAGGGCACGATACCCTTCTGCCTAAGTTGCTCCAGTATGGTTGGCTGTATCGGCTTCCTCGCGCAATAACATTTATTGCTCTCGGAACAACTGTCAGTGTCGCAAGCGCAGATTACCGTGTTCTCTGGCACCGACGTTGCTGGTATCCGTCTAGACAACGAGCAATAACACTTGTCCGCCGATACGCACGTGCACGACTCGGAGTCGTAGCTACACTCGCTGCAGCTTACATAGCCGCTGCTGCTTCTGTTTGCGGCGGCACCCATACTGCGACTTAGTCGTCTACCTGTGTAATTTTATAATTATTACGTCCAATCGTGCACATTTGAATGATTTGTGTTGATTATTTTAAACATTTTATGATATTTTTATTATGCTTTTATATATTTTATTTTGTTTTATATTTTTAAGACACTGAAAAAGAAAATCCTGCTGACACTATTTATAGACTTGGACAAGATTTGTAGATTTGAATTTTTAATTACAATATTTTTACGTACATGTATCGCTGTCTTCCGAGGTAGTGTGACACGCGCCGGTTTTCGTCGCCTTCCACGAGGATTTTCTCCTACCGAGCCTACTCGCCAGCACTCGATTTCGATGGTTGTTTCTAACATCGCACGACGAACTACTGCCGAAGCTATCGTTCAATCTTCTCGCCGGAAATATGACAGAAGTAAATTCCGTAGGGCCACCTTTCAATCTCGAGACCGATCTCTTGATGGCTTTGCCCAATAAACAAGATCGACGATTCGATCTTCGTCTCTGCGGTCTTCGACGTCTTCTCATGATGCTGGCAGATCTCTGATACAGTTCGTCTTGCGTTAAGGTTGCCGCCAATTTAAGTAAGAATTCTTTGTAAAGTGGCTTCAGATCGTTGAACGACATACCTTCCGGATCTGAAAAAAATCACAAAGATGATCTTGCTCTAAAAACTGTGTTATTTTACAGATATCATCTTCCATTACCTATAATAGCCGCCAAGATATCATCCACGCTGGTCAAGCCCTCCTGATTTCTAAATTCATCAAACAGTTCTGTGAATCCTAAAGGAGTGCCGCCTTTGATATTGTTAGATCTCCGAGTACTTCCGGAAGTCAAGAAGCTGCCTCTTCTGGGTAACTCGACCCTCGTCATTAGATCGCCTCGATCTACATCTATGTCACTCTGCGATCTCTTCAACACGTTTTCTTGCAGAATCTTGTTCTCCGAATGACTGACAGGCGGTTCGCTGCCTGCTCTGCTTCTTCTTCTTCGAGGACGACTATACTCCGGGACTATACTTAACGAATAAGCGGGATCCGATTGCTCCTTCTTCAACGGTTTGTCCATAGTAACGACTCTGTTGAGCCTTTTGCCGGAATATATCCTCTCTGCATCTCGTGAGCGTCTCTGTTGTTTTATCGTATCATCCGAACGTTCCTGACGCGATTGATAATGCCCGCTGTTCTTCAAGTTTTTGGCAAAGAAGATGTCTTCTTCAGAGCTTTTCATCTTATTGTTCTTATTATTGTCCTTGCTGACGTAAATCTCTTCCTTTCCGAGGCTGTAGATCTTATCAGCGTCTTCGATGCGCGAACTGTAAATACTTTCCTTCTTCCTGTCGGTTTGCTCGTAAGTAGAGTTTGTCTCGTTTCTTCCGATCTTATCGATTTTTTCATACATTAAAACGCTATCAGTTCTGGAAGAATACGATTGTCGTTCGCAATTATCAATGTTCCCTCGACTCAAATTGTACGATTCGTAATTTTTTTCGTAAATATCTTTCAAACTGGCCGACTCCTTTTTCGGATTGTTCTGTTTGTACAGTTTCTCGTACTTATTCGATTGTCTTTCGTAGATTTCGTTCGTGTTATTACTGTTGTAATTTTTTTCAGATTCAACCTCGATTCTCAAGGAATTTTTATCCTTCGTAGAAAACGCCTTATTCTTCGAATTTTGTAATTCCTCATTTCTGGACAATATAACATCACGATTGCTTTGTCCAAATTTGGTTTTTTCGATCTTGACGTCTCGTCTTCTTCCACGCGCCTCAAGGATGTCTTCCGCCTTGACGTCGGAATTTTTCTTTTTTCTACGCGGCATTTTCTGTAAACTAGACTTTGTTCCTTCGTCCTCGGTGACGGAGCTACTCATGGAACTCTTCTTGGTTCTGGGTGGTCTCACAGGGTGAGGCGCAGTCGGTCTTGGTGGCGGAGGCAGCAAATAACTCATCCTGCTGCTGAGGCTGGGTTCTCGAACGCTGGAAGCAACAGAGGCCAGACTAATGCAACCGACACCGTTCGCATGACGTGGTCGTCGGCGATTCGCATCCAAATCAGCAAGAAGAGCGCGATACAACGTGGCCGCAGCTACCACAGCGTCTTCCTCGGATTCGCAGGCGAACCCGTGACATTCCAGGAGTCTGGCAGCCCCAGGTCGTCGCATCACCACTGCGAAGATCGGCGGATATAATTCTGCTTCATTTTTTAAACCGCGCATCGTCCTAAAATTGAAATTAAAATTCAAATTACACAGGTGACAGGATTATTAATTTCTTATTTCTTTCGTAGAATTTTTAATTTTATTTTCAGATGTAAGAGCGTGTTCTCTAAGTTAAATTTTACTTTGTTTCACAAATTAATCATATCAAGATATATAACGTCGTTGAAACCTGTAGAGATCAGCGTGTTTATTTTCCAGTGTCTGCGTGTATCTTTGATCCTGATCGCCGACTAAAGGTAAGAAGGCGTGATGCACGTCACCCGATGGTATTCTCTTGCACCTCAGCTTCAGGGCACTCCATACCGCTATCCTGCGAAAGGGATTATTCTTCTCACAGATATCGCTCGTACGGTATGTCAGTCCACGCCTGGAGATTTCCAACTCGGCCCTGACACACCCTTCTATACGTTCCAATAGCTGACGAAGAGGCTCTTGAAGACCCCGAACACTCGCTACGCGTCCGCCGACCGGAGCAGCTCCCATATATTTTACCTATGTAAAAAAAGGTACAAAATATTTTAATTAGCATAGAAAATAGATTTTAGTAAAGAAAAAGAATAAGGGAGAGAAAGCAAATAACTTTAAGTATTAAATATACATGAGACTTGTTTGTCAGACTAGAATGTATTAAGCAGTAGTGTGAAACAATCAATGAGAATGACAATGTCTGTATAATGAAGCTTCATGCAGCATATAAGATTTTATTTATCGCAAAGATTTTATAACACTACACTAACGTATGCATATAAAAATAGAGTTTGATAAAAGTGCGTTCTTTTCACGTGTGTTGTGCTGAAATCGTGGAAACCTGTTTTTCACGATGGGCAATATTAAAGCTAAACAGACGGGATCATTATATAGGAATTTTATTGCACATATCGAACGCGATAAAGTTCTAAAACTAGTCTTCTGGAATTTTGCTGTGTGGCCGTTTCATTCGTTGCCACTTTAATACGTACGGGATGTATCGAATGAAATGAATCACGTGGGAATTCTGTGCCTTCGAAATGAAAAAAAATAAAAAATAAATAACGGTTCTTTATCATAATTATCTGAAATTTAATGCCCTGAGTTATGTATGGAAAGAGGTATGCGAATTCACAACCATAAAAATCAATGTTCGATGTAAGAGATAAAAAATTGCCAGGTCATTATGATTGACTGCCACGCCTAACAATAAGAGAATTCTCTCGCGAAATGACGTAACTCTATCAATTGATCGGCAGCTTCTTTTGTGAGTTCTGATCAAAGTGCGCGAAGCGAGGCGAAACAATGCAGCGCTGCCCAAACCCCATAAAACAGAATCGTGTCGGCGCAAAGGAATCCGTGTACCGGCATAACGACTGAAGGAGAATTTTTCAGCGCTCCGAATAGTTTGTGGAAGTCTGTCACGCTTCGTGGATCGTGAGTGGAATGAAAGTGACGATTAAAAATTCCGAATAGACGTCCTGAGGAAAGTCGAAGGACTTTTCGCGACGTTTTTTCTCTAATTGGGATGCATCTGTGATAATGGCGATTGCAATTGTGCAATATATGCGCGACATGCATACCAAATACAGAATAGACCATCGGTAATTTATAAGTAATCAATTTATATGCATTGAAATGCAGATAAAATTATTTATTTGGAAAATATATTAATTAAAAATAGATATTTAAATGATTGATATCTGTTATAACATTCTGCTTAATTTATTATATGAATCTATTTCAAAATTTTTATTACAATTTCAGAATTATAAGATTCTTTTCATTCAATTTTTTTGCTATTCTGTTTATAATTAAAATTATCAAGACATTATTAAAACACATTTTCTCTATTAAAAGTATCTTAATATGTATTGCAGTGTATATTATAATCTCATTTTAAGCGACATTATCAGTATACGAACTAATTATCATGACAAAAAGCTTAATGTTTAGGTCAAGATTAATCAAAAGATTTGATATAATCTCAACTTAGATGTTAAAGACAGAAATCTCGGATATATAATATGCTTTCTCTCTTGATTTTTATCTGCCTCCAAATATACTTCGTTCTTGAAAAGATGATCGCGCGATTCTTTCCTTTCTAACCAACAACTAGCTCGCAAGTAATTATACGTCGATCTCAATTTTATTTCTGACACGGAATCGCCACGAGCATCAGGATGATTTACGCGAGATTTTACGAGGCGGAAAATGCTTTTCACAAAACTTTTCACCGATTTCAGGATCCCATTTTTGATGAAAAATAAATTGAATCAAATATAAAACTACTTAGATTTTTCTGAGACGAGATGAGAAATGTGAATTAATTAATTGAACAACGAATTTAATTATTCAATTTAATTATGAGTATGTTAAAAGATATAAATATGTGTTAGATCATATTTCTGCTCGAAGGAAAAGATGGGTCACTCGGATACAAAATATTTTTTTGCATGAAACGATTTTATGTTCCTTGCATTAATTGCTCGTTAAGTCTCGACGTTCTCTTCCGCGATTGTTTTAATTTTGACATTGAATAGCCGATTAAATACTTAAGGGTCACGTTCGTTGGCGAAGTAGGTGAGTCTTTCGTTGCGGTGCTCAATGTCCCTCAAGAGTGGAACGGAACGACCGTTCGGCCACGCTGATTTGCGAGATTTTTTTAAACGAAAGAAATAAAAAGAGAGAAAAAGAAAGATCGCCGAGATGCACAATAGAATTAACATAAGTGAAAATGCAAGCGCGCGTATTCGTCCGTTATATGGTAATTACGATTTCTGGCCTCCGAACATAAGTCTTCGAGACGGTGAAGACTTGAATAAAAGTAGCGTGTGGTGCGTCTCTCGAGTGTGCTCTACGTGCGTAATTATTCGTGTCATTACCGGCAGGATAGCGGCGGCGCATTCACCGGGCGTTCCACTTTCAGCCTCCACCGAGGCGAACATCGCCTCGATGCGTGCCTGGACGGCGCTGTTCACCCTTTTCTGCTCTTCAGCGCTCGAGTCGTCGGGGTTGGTCGGGATGACGACCGACAATCCGGCGTACCAACCGCTCAATGTGCTGCAGATCGATCTGAAGTGATTGAGAATTCATTAATGGAAAGCGAAGCGCAAGATCAATATTAATCTGGACGTTCATGTATCTGAAGAACTAAATTAACGATTAATTTGATAAATTTACCTGGAATCTTCGAACAGTGCGTCGATCTGCGCCTTGCTCCTGAGGGAGCATTCCGATGGCGGGCCACCCAATCGAAACCCATCCTCGTAACAGGATATTCCTAAGGTCGACATGATTTATTCGGATGTTGCACAATCCGATGTACTTGCAGATTTCTTTGTCTATCGTGTTGCCTATTGATGTCATTCGTTCTGGAAAGGAAAATTATTATAATGAAATATTTTCAAGTACGAAAGAATTATTATAGCTGATGATATAATTGACGCTATTTGTTCATCGATTGTAAAAAACAGAATGATTATTTCTATATCCACTTATTCTCGCAGAAAATTAATTTTAAAATATAATTTTGTAAAAATCAGTTAAGATTTCCGAAATGATTTGAATTCGATGTTAATCATATTTGATGATATTAGAAGAAAAAATCTAAAAATTTTCAAACCGACTGGACAGCACAGGATCAGTCAGTGACTGACAGTTTAACTGATTTTTATAGCACTTGCTATTAACGTCGCGATGCGTTAAATCTATGCAAGCGCTATGCGGTGCGTGAATAATTAAAATAGGGACCGGGTTAGTCTGTTACTTTTACATACGCCGGTACTTTTGCATGGCAACGGTAAAAGTGATGGAGATCAGACAAAAGGAAAATACAGAAAACAATGAGCTTGTCGATGCGTGGCAGATGAAACGGTTGATTAAGACAGTAGTAATTTAGATCTCGCACGCGTCATATCACGATATTATGCGAACGAGGGGCTGGCACATCGGTCAATGCACTAAGCGATGAAAGTTCTTTTTCTACTCGGAAAATCAGGATTCGATGTTTACACATGTAAATGTAAATCAAGCTAATTAGATAATGTTAAGGTCATTATCCTGCGAGCTAGAAATCGCAAAAGCCACCGTAGAAACTATAATTCGCGGGAATATATAGGAAAATTGCGTGCATGTCTGTGTTGCGGATTTCACCGGCATTTCGTGAAACTGCACGCATTTCTTCATTAAGGCCGTATGCGCGATGCCTTTTTAACAACTCTCGGAGAAAACAGCTCCGTCATTCGGATGCGATATTAATTTTGACGAATTCGCGCGATGTATTCGCAGTTTTTATAGATGTTCTTTTAATTAAGAAGAAGAAACATTATGCAATTTATATTTTAATTATTTAAATAAATATAATAATTCGAATTTAATATAAGATAGTCATATGCATATACGAGAGAACATATATCAGAGAACAAATTTTACATCAAAAGCGTTATATCTATTTTTGCAGTGAAAAATTAAAGTTAATCGCGCATATGAATCTGATATAAAAAAAAACCAGTTGTCATGCTTTAGATTATCTGTGACTGCTCACAGACAGTTAGACTGTACAGTACAGTTATGGACCAGGTGTATCATGAGCAACAGATCGACGATTTCCAAAAGGTGTCAATGTCGGCTCAGATTCAGCATTACGTACGCAATCTGAAATAACTGTCAATGCGTCCCTTTCCCCATCTCTCCTCCCCCACCCTCGCGAATCTGAACGCGTGTTGACCTCGCGTATGCTGTTCGCAATCGTGACGAAATTGATTGCCAAACAGCCGCTATAATTGGGATTCGTTACGCTTGATCGAAGCAGCGAGGGAAATATGTCGTAAAAGAGCCGAGGCTGTGCGATAATTATCGATAATTACCAGGCCTGATTCAGAGTACAGTATATGCATTTCTGGATTAATTAAAACGGAAGTTTTCTCTCCGCGCGTTCTCATCTCGTCGTAAGTAGTTTTCTTGCGCTTAATTTTTGCTTTACATAGTTTATATGATATGTAACGCGTTATTCTTCATTCATTATGAGGCTGCACACGAGGAGACTGCCTCCTTGCTCATCGCATGAAGCCGACCCTGAATAATCACCAACAAGCTTCTTGACGCCAGTGACCCAATTTCGGACTGCACGCTACCGTAATCGCTATAGCAGCACGAATCTAGATTCGATCGACGATTGTTAATGACTTGTGATTGTGCAACTAAAGATGACTTTTGCAAAATTAACGTTTACTTCACATTGTCGCGAGATTCGTAAGAATGCGAGATTCGTAAGAATGCGAGATTCGTAAGCAAGGATGTCGAGAGCAGTTGTGGAGACAACGGGAAACAAAACAACCATGAGTGCACTTGATCGCATCCATCGACGAGACGCATTCATCCGTTTCTCAAGAGCAGCTCCCCGTTTTCATAACTGTCGAAGCGTCCACGGCGTGTTTAAGGCAACGGTATTAAGGTCGACGAACACAGATTACGGCATCACGTGTCGATGCATCGTAGAAGAGAGCTAGTCGATCGAACGTCGTTCAACTTGCAATTACCAAGTTCACGGCTCGTTTCCCGCCTGCATCTGCTTTAATGGATATCGAACCGGTCGATAATCACATGCGTGAGATATACATTTCTCGGAGCGCGTCATTTCGATTAAATCGATTCCGATTTCCTTAGCTGCTTTAGAAATTAATATATTGATTTTAGAAACTTGTTAATTATCGAGAGATTTCATTTTGCACGTTCACTTAAGATATGCATGTAAGATCTGTTTATGCTAAAAAGATATCAGCAATCTCAAGTGCAAAGTAAAATTTAAAAGAGCTATTTCCATAATTTTCTTTCGTCGCACATAATGTATTCTTGTCAAATGTATTCTTGCCAAATTAGAATGTACAGAATTGATGTAATCGAGAGAGAGCTCCATTATCGCATGTCACAATTCAAAATAAGAGATAAACTTTATGAATACTATGTCACAACATCGATAAGACTAAACTTGCGAAATATACCTGTTTGCTTCTGGTCAATCGCTTCGTGTGCTCCAGAATTAAATATAATCATCCGATTTCGGCACAATCACCTTGACACGAGTTAATCTTAAAAGTTCTCGCTGTCATATCACAGTCAAATACTCGGAGAAATCTATCACGATAATTGGCCGAACCGAGATCATTTGCGAGAGCACGTTGCACCACAATGAGCTTCACTCGCGACGATCGTTCGCCAATTCTTCCGTCCTCGTCTCGACGACCTTCGACGAGGATCTTCCTCTTCACATTAACCGACCTTGGCCGCGGCGAGTCGATCCGGATGACCGTCGACGCGAAACTGCCGGGGATGTTCCGCAGGAGAGGCTCGAGTTCTCTAGCTGGTGAGTCGGCGCCTCACGTGGAACGAATAAGAGGAGAGGGATGAAGATCGGCGGAGAAAGAGAAAGAGAGAAAGAGAAAGAGAGAAAGATAAAGAGAGAGATGCTCTCGGCAAACATCGGTTACTCTCTCGTTGGCCGTCCGGAAATTATGTTCCAATGATACCACGCTGATAAAGTGGGAACACCCACAATATCCGGTGTTTCTAGATGGATAAGATGTTTTATTCCATCATTATCACACTTGTCATTTATTTAAAGAGATGTCACGGTGTAAATTCTTTGCCTTATTATTTCAGGCACATATATATCTGATTCATACAGATCTCAGCATGTTGAAATGAACAAGGATGTATTGTTAAAAAGATACTTTTCTCTTCGTTAATTAGTATTTTTTGTTGTAGTACTACTTTTGATGTAGTTTCATAAAAAGTTCTAACATTGAAATTGAATTTATATTTTAGAGAAGCAAAATTATTGATGCGAAAAATATCTTGCCTACACATCTTTAAACTAAAATTTTACTTAATTTTATTTTTTTTATCTACATTTATGAAGAAAGGTAAAAACAGCACACTTTTAACTTTCTTCGTACATACTTTTTTGTTTTACTCTAAATTGATTAAATATTAGCAAGTTGATGCATTGCATACTCCGAGTGACCGATATTGCAGCTGGTTTCAAAATGGGTTACCGAAGATCCATCAAGAAGATTAATCAAAGGATTGGTACTGAGAACAAAAGAGAGCGAGAGAGAGAGAGAGAGAGAGAGAGAGAGAGAGAGAGAGAAAGAGAAGGAAAGAGAGAGAGAGAAGAGGAAAGAGATGCAACCGAATCAATCGGGTGGACCGTATGGCGTCTCGATCCACCGATTACCACCGGCATTGGAAGCCAGTATTCGCTTATATGCGGTAACGTCGTAACCGGTAACGGTACCGTATTTCTCGATGGCGTTCGCCAGGCAGCCGCACCAACGTGAGAGTACTGTTATTCCAACTATGCAGAGGCTGTGTGTATATTCCCTCTTCGTCTAATTCCTTCACGGCTGCCTCTTCACCCCTGTATCCGTTTCGTTCCTTCTTTACCTTCTTCTAGCTTGCGATATTATTGTTCGTGGCTCTCTCGAGATTATTATTTTTTTTTTTTTCATTAAAAGATTGGACTTCTTGTCCCATGAGGATGAGCAAGTAATGGCAATTTAGTAAATCATTTCTGAGCTTCCCCGCTTAGTGAAATTTATTGTACTTTTCTCGCGCAATCTGATTGACATTATTTTTAAAATTAATGAGAATCGTATTTACATAACGGTATTAAATATGCTGAATATTGAATAAATGTACGAGTATAACAAGGCCATCGGTAACAGTAAATTTCCATGCACGAGGATAAAAATTATTAGAATTGTTCCTCTTTCTAGAATAGGATCTTACGTCTCGCTACAAGTAATTTCTGTCGCAATTTACTTTCGTTCGCGTATTGTTAGTAGCGCCCGTAGACAAACACACTGTCATTAATTTATAGCTAATGGTGAGAAAGTCGAACTTTAGAGATATCGTCTGTGTTTAAACTGTGCATTACCTTCGTTTTACCCGCATTACAAAATTATAGGTTGTTGCTAAAGCGCTAGTATATATTGACGGTCGTAGAAGTTTCTTTATAAAAAAGATGCATTTTTTTCTGTGTAATATGTTTACATTAAATTATTATAACGTACATTACATGTGTGTTATAATATTATAATATAAATTACATTTATATGTAAAAACGTTGCAAAGACTCTGTCTAGTAGGTTAATTGTATGAATTTTATACATAAAACATGGAAAAGCAATTATAACTGTTCACATTGGACAGAGAGAGAAAGAGACACGACATATCTCTCAAGCAGAAAATTTGCAAACTGATCCATACGATGTTTCTGTCAAGACTGATGGAGATCCGTTATAGAACTAGCATAATAACTATCGGTTTTATGCATCGCACACG